CTACACAACCACTCTAGCAAAATCCTAAAACTTTACCCTCTTGATTTTTATGGTCTCACATACTTCCTATTCTGACACTTGCCTATCTTCTTCATGACCTCCTTTTCCCAATTCCCCTTAATATCAATGCTTCCAAGTACCTGCATTTGGCCCACCACTCTTTCGAAGCTATGCTTTCTCTGAATAATTTCATTTTCTCTCCTAGAGTTCATATGCAGAAGACTCACAAATATTAATTACCAGTACATGCAGCTCTATCAGCATCTGTGCATACTCATATTCACTGCCTCCTGGTCATCTCCATTTGATGTTACACAAGCATAACCAATTCAGCATAACCAAAATTTAAATCATACAGCTGCCTGTGCACTCTATTTTAAGTGGAAACACCCTTATATCCATCCCAGGAATCATCCTTGATTGGTCCCTCTTGCCCCCACCTTCAATCAATCATCAAGCCCTGATGATTTTATCACCTAAATATATCCCCAGTCTATTCCATCCTCTTACCCCCGTCCTAGTTCAGGCCTTCTTAATTTATTAACAAGACTATTCCAACAGACTCAACTCCTAACTCCTTATTCCTCTCAACTCCATCCTCCGTACTGCAGCCAAAGTGATTTCCTTAAAAAAAAAATCTGATTCTGTCACTTCCTTAAAATTCTTCAATAAAGTCCCCTTCTAAGATCCAGAGTATTTAAGGCTTTGCATTTTCTGAACCCTACCCTCCTCTCCTGCTCTCTTCTTGTCATTCTTTGCTACATATTTGGTAATCAGGTAATAATGAATAGCTTGTAATTCTAATTTGCTTATGTCTCTCCTTGGCCTGGCTAACTCCTACTCTTCTTTTATGTTACAGTTCAAGTGTCATGCCGTCCTGGAAGCCATCTTAATGGCCAACATCACCCACCCCTCAGGTGGATCATATTTCCCTTCTATATGCTATTTCCCTACCTATCACTGCACTTACCAACATTATTTCATAGTGCTACGTTTATGCATCTGCTCACCCCTTAGCCTAAACAGTAAACTCCTTGAAGACAGAAACTTTGTCATCATTATATCCCCAGCGTCCAGAATATTCGATTACAGGTACTCTGAAAATGTTTCTTGAATGAATAAATAAAACAATTTCCCCAACTTTTCCATCATCTAACCCTACCACCCACCATCACCACCACTACGCCAACTCCCACGAAACCTGACCCGCATATTCGACACTTAAAACGCTACCCTGAGTACTTCTGTCTGCTGTCTCTATTCTCTAGACGAAGAGCTCCAGGAGGGAGAGGACCGGTCATATTCACCTGCCTGACTCCGGTACCTGGCACATAGGCTGAAGAATGAATGAAAATGCTTAGCAAGGCTGAGAGGCTGTCTCGGACTTCTCTCTCACACCCTCCGCAGAGCTCAGACCAATCCCAGGGGCCGAGGGACTGGGGGGACGCGTGATCTCCCCGACAAGCACAGACCCCCCACTGCCCGCGGGCTCGGACTGCGTGGGTCGCCTCCGCTCGCACACCAGTCTCCACCCCGCCGTCCTCTCCAGAAGAAAGAGGTGGAGGTCACTGCGGCGCTTACCGGCAGGCGGAACTCCAGGTGTTCCTGTGCCATTAGCAGAAGATACCTGTTCACGGTTCCCGGCAGCGCCATCGCATCAGCCCGCGGCGCGCCTGCGCCACCGAGGGTGTCTCACTCTTTTCTTCCCCTACAGACCGCTTCCGCTAAGGCAGAGCCTGAGGAGCCAGAAGCGGAAGTGGGGAGAGTCGGTTCTCTCCGGAGGTTCCCGGCTTGCGGGATTTGAGCCCCGCAGTTCCAGGAGAGGTTTCTTCTGCTGCCGGATGCGTTCTGTTTGAGGTCCCGGTGTACCAGGAGCTGGTGTGAGAAGATGTGTTGTGTTCAAGAGCAGGTTGCGATGAGACAGTGTAGTTCCCAATGATCCTCCACCTGGAATGTACTTTTAACTTCCCCTACAACTCTTCAAATTCCAGGTCTTCGAAACTGAACTGAAATTTCTGTCTTTTCCCTGCAGACTTCTCTAACCACTCCAGGCTTTGGGGACTGACTTAGCTGGACTTAGCTATACTTATTGAAGTATAGTTGATTTACAGTGTTGTATTAGTTTCTGATGTACAGCAAAGTGATTCAGTTATACACATATATATATTCATTTTCATATTCTTTTCCATTATGGTTTATTACAGGATATTGAATATAGTTCCCTGTGCTATGAAGTAGGACCTCGCTGTTTATCCATTCTATATATACTAGTTTGCATCTGCAGCTTTTTCAAAAAATTGTACTGGAAGGGGCAGAGAGGTTCAAAGTCTGCCTTCTAGACAGATGCAAAGCTCTGTCTGCTCACCAAGGCAGATCTCGTAGAGACCTGGCCCCTCTTGTGAGATTGCTATTGTGTAAGCATTGGAGCCTCTGGTATAGGCTGCTGCTTATTAAAAAACCAGAGGTGTTCCTGGGAAGGACCAGGAATTGGAAAGGAGAATTTTGAGTTCTGGTTAGAACAGGTCACTACAATGTTAAGACTAGTAGGACACAGTCAGTGAAGAAAAGAAATTAGCGAGTTAACAGGTCCCAGGGGCAGAAGTCACGTGTAATGTCAAAGTTGCCCATACATCTGACTAAACAATCTATCATTTGAAAAGGGTTTAGGTGTCCCTATGGTTTAGAACCATAGGGATGTGTGAACCAATGAGAGGGAGAAAAGCTCTCTTCATACATAGGAAGACTAGATTTTTGCAATGAGTAAAAAACAAGGGGTTTTTGAACAGTTTGGAGAGTAAAGTTTTATTGTAATAAGTCATATAAGAACTATGGAAACATCACTATTGTGAAGCATTCCTGAGTGAGTTCTATTTCACAAGATTCCAGAAGGGTCCTCAGCATCTTCAGTCTTCATGAAGATAATTCAGGAAGAAGAGAAGAGAGGAAAAAACACTGGCTGCTCTCAGGAAACAAAACTGAACAAGTTGGGACTCTGAGACACCTGTTCAGACATAAGCAACTGCAGTGGATTTAAATATGATTCAGCTCCTCAGTCCGGAACCTGTGCTCCACAACGGGAGAGGCCACAACAGTGAGAGGCCCGCGTACCGCAAAAAAAAAAAAAAAAAAAGTATCATAACATGCATAAATAATGCTTTTGATACTATTCTAAACATGGTTCCCGACGCGCAGGCCCAGCTGCCATGGCCCACGGGCCCAACCGCTCCGCGGCATGTGAGATCTTCCCAGTCCGGGGCACGAACCCGAATCCCCTGCATCGGCAGGCGGACTCCCAACCACTAGCGCCACCAGGGAAGCCCTATTTTAAACATTTTTAAGACAGGTTATGAATTAGCTTTGTACTGAGCTAATGTTATAGATGACTAGAGAGTTACCAAATAATTGAACTACTGAAAAGGCTGAGTGAATTTTAATTGTCATAATTTGATTATTGATCTTTACAAAAGAAGAGCCACTGAAAATGTAAGGTTCCAAGGGTTTTCCAACAAAGGAGAAAAACTTACTATCTAATTTTGAGAGCCCGTAACCCCTACTTCCAAATTCCTCTCTCCACCTTCAGTGAACAAAATGGAATTTGGATGTTCAGTTGTTAAGTAAATAATAATGGAAGCAGAACCCAAGGAAAGTACATGTTGGTCTCTCAGCCTAAACTTCCACTATCTATCTGCCTAACATTGAGTCTCAAATACTCAGTTCTACTGCCACCTGCTCTCAAAATTGTTTCCCTCTCCACAGCCTCTTCTATGGACATTTTTGTACTTAACATACCAAATTGTACTCACTGGTTTTGTCTGATCTTCGTATTAGCAATTAAAGGCAGACTGTCCTTTCTCACTTCTGTATTTCCTGATCCTGGCAATGTCTGGTACATGTTAAATGCTCACCGAATTTATTTTTTTTATTTTTGGCTGCATTGGGTCTCCGTTGTTGCGTGCAGGCTTTCTCTAGTTGCAGAGAGCGGGGGTTACTCTTCGTTGTGGTGTGCGGGCTTCTCATTGCGGTGGCTTCTCTTATTGCGTAGCACAGACTCTAGGCGCAGGGGTTTCAGTAGTTGTGGCACGCGGGTTCAGTAGTTATGGCTCCTGGGCTCTAGAACTCAGGCTCAGTAGTTGTGGCACACGGGCTTAGTTACTACACGGCATGTGGGATCTTCCTGGACCAGGGCTCGAACCTGTGTCCCCTGCATTGGCAGGTGGATTCTTAACCACTGTGCCACCAGGGAAGCCCACTAAATGTATTTTGAATGAATTAATGAACAAATGAACTAAACAATATTGATTCCAGAGGTTGTAACTAAGTATTTCATTACTTAAAACTACGTTTAATATCATCCCCCAAAAAAGGTTAAAAAAAAAAAACACTACTTTTCTCAGCCTGTTCCTAAGATCAATACTTTAATCCTTATGTTCATTTATTTTCATGTATATGGTACCGTTATACACTGGCACAATGTAAGATTAGCTTTCAGTACTTATTTTTCATTCACATTCACTATTGTTAGTGTAGATTAGCACCAAAAGACAATTCCTAAAGAAATATGTCTCATGAAATGATTTATCAATATATTAATGTTGCTATTAAAATTAATTTTCTCATCCAATCTATCTCTACTTTCAAATCAGGACTTTTTCATGATAAAAGACAGGTCTAACCACTTTTTAATTCTAATTTTCCTTTGGTATAATAAGTAAGCCATAGAGCAACAGTTTCTGCCAGTTTTAATAGATTAATGTAACCACTTATGTTTCTTCCCAATTTACATTCTTACAGGTAAAATTCCATTACAATGAATTCTCTTGGATAGCCAAATTGATTGTTATAGCAAACCCACTGTTACAGTGAAATTATTTTATATATATTACATAGCTTCAGGATCAATTTATTACAAAGATGCTAGGATTCAAGAAGTGAAAGCCAGCATCTGAAACCTGAGTAAAAAGTGACACATATACAGTTCTTTCCATCAATAAGATCAGAGATCACTGTGTAGTACAGTACTGTTTATTTTGAAATTTTGTGTGTAAAATTATAGAACAATCAAGAAATAATTTCTATTTCTCCTTCATATAATAAAGGCTCCAACAAAGTACTTTTTAAACCAGTTTATTCTTCATAAATAAATCACTATTATAATTGACTATTGAGAAATTAAAATGTTTGAACTTTAAAAAAATACAGAGCCCTTCTTGATTAACAGAATTTGTTTTAATGGGATTTTATCTATAGTATCTTATACCTTAGACAAGGAACCACTAAAACAAAGTCAATGACAAAATATTCATATAACTATATCACAGATTTCAGGAAACAAACATTAAGAAACAATTTAAAACTACCCAGTAATAGCTTCACATAAAACCCAATTGTAATTAGACTTCAAAGAGACCAGAATATTAGTTTATGTTGAGCTAAAATTAGGAAAATCTTCCACTGTTGACATTTTCATGTTCTTAGTTTGTCAATCAAATAATCAGCCTGTAATGGAAAAATAACATATTTTTTTATTCTAGTTATCATAGCCTACATGAAATAATTCTACTGGTGCCCCTATTATAATAAGCCACAGCAGAAGAACTGGATACTACATATTCTGTTCCTAAAAATATCTTACAAAAAACTCTCAACATAACAGTTTTCAAACTACAGTAAAGGTGTTTATTCTATACTATATATAAATAGGCAGATTTTTATCCACATTGCCTTTTTGTTAGATAGTTTCAATAAGGAAAATAAATATAATACTAAAGACATGGAAGAACCTGAAATGCATTTAACTAAGTGAAAGAAGCCAATCTGAAAAGGCTACATACAATATGATTCTAACTACATGATATTCTGGAAAAGGCAAAACTGGAGACATTAAAAAGATCAGTGGTTACCAGGGATTAAGGGGGAGGGAGAAATGAATAGTCAGAGCACAGAGGATTTTCAGGGCAGTTAAACTATTCTGCATGATTCTACAATTGTGGATATATGTCATTATACATTCATCCAAACCCACAGAATGTACAACACCAAGAACAAACCCTAATGTAAACTATGGACTTTGAGTGATAATAACATGTCAATGTAGTTTCATGGATTATAACGAATGTATCCCTGTGGTGTAGGATGTTGACAGTGGGGAAGACTGCGAGTATGTGGGGACAGAGGGTATACGGGAACTCTGTGTACTTTCCATTCAATTTTGCTGTGAACCTAAAATTGCTCTAAAAAAATAAGGAAAACAAAAAGAATAAAAAGTAAACTAAAGCCTTCTAGTTACATCATTTCAGATACTTTTCTCAATCATCATATATCTGAAAAATTATGTAAGATTTCAGAATAAACGTTAATATCTTTATCTTGATTTTTTCAGTCTCATAATATATACTTAAATACCTAGATTTAAGAAGAGTTCAGATTCCCAGGACGAACAATTAATAGATCTCATAACTTTGTTCATTCATTTTTTTCCCAACTAAAAAATCATGTAAGGAAATACAGTTTAAAAAGCATAAAAATGTATTTCTAATTATTTTTTACTATAAAAGCATAGATAGTGTAGAAACTTAGAAATACAAATAAGAAAAAAATACCTGTTTTTTATCATACTGATTTTTTAAGAGACCACACCAGCTTCCTACAAAATGTCCCACTTTTTAATTTCAAATATATACACCACATACCTTAAATATATGGACAAGTTGAGGAGAGAGATAATAAGTTTGAAATATGAAGTTTCTAGAAATCAACTGCTTTTTCATTTCTTTTGTACTATGACTATAATAATAATCTGCATTAACTAATGGTAATTACTTAATTTGCAATTTGATGGTTTTTCAGATACAGCAACTATAGGTCACCTTATCATCATGGACACATAAAATAAGAAACATAAATTACTAGTCAAGTGGCCCTGGAAGGACAGAGTCATTTAATAACTAAAGCTTGACTGTCAGGTTACAAGCCAATAATCAGTTGAATTCTATTCTACTTTTGCCCTAGTAAAGCAAAATTCTGCAACTTTTTTAGGCTCAAAGCTTCAGCTTCAGATCTAGTAGCTGACGCTACTACTTGCATCAATTTCTGCAATGAGGCTGATGATGACAGAGGCAGCAGATAACATTTACTGAGCCCTCACTATCTGCAATGTACAGTTTTAAGGGCTTCACATGTTAATTATTTCATCAATCCTCTTATCAACCCTAGATGTAGGCACTATTACCTATACGTCAGTAGTAGATAAAAAAACTTGGGCCTTAAAACGTTTAAGTAACTTGCACATGGTCACTCAAGTAACTAACAGAGCCACAATTCAGAATTCTGAACTATTAATGCCATGAACTTCTATATCATATCCTCTGCTTACAATTGAGAGACTTTGCCATAGTATCTCTTCCTACAGATTTGATGACCTGGAAAAGTACCCCAAATTAAAAATATTATTTCAGATATGTGCAAATAGAATGTTAAAACAGATGATCAAGTCTATAAGTGCCCACTGTTGCCAAGAAAAGAAAAACTACAACAAAAAGGACAAATATTTTAAGTATTTTTGTATGCTGCTAGCATAACAATAACACTTACTGTGATAAACCAATAGGAATTCACTCTATAAACCAATTTTGATAAGAAGCTAAGCTGATCGGCTGGTGCCAGAACATGAAGGTGCAAATGGGAAATGGAACAGAATGGTGGCACATGGAAACCCATTCTGAAACAGCAAGGTAAGAGATAATTGACAAATTAGTTCTACAACAGTTTAAAACTATATTTTCAGGTTAAAACACATAAATATTAAATATATCCAAAACAGGTTACCTAAGGTAGACAGATTACCACTCAAACATCATCTTTTTTCTTTATGAACTTGAGAGTATTCACACAGTTCATCTTCATGTTGAAGTTCACAATAAGATAAACTCTTCATTGAGAAAGGCTTTCACAGAATATTATACCTCTGTATAACCCTTATGAATTCTGAGCTGGCATTATGTCTTATTACTTCAGTTCTTATCATATTAAGCTTTAATTCTCCTAAAAGATGTCTCTGCAGTGAATCTTAAAATTACTGAACGCTGAAGTAGGATTCCTTTTTCCAAGACATAGCCAGTAGATGGCGCACTTTCTCCTTTAATAAAGTGGTCATTTCCTTACCCTCACTAAAAAAACTTTATCATCACTTAAGTTTCTTGAATACTAAAAATAAGTTAGATGATACCTATTCATAACTATTTGCTTTATAAAATATTTACAAGAGAATTCCTTTGGTAAAAAATTTTTTAATATGATTTAACCTCTTAAAAATCCATTTACACACAGTTTTGGAAGTCTACTTTGTAAGCGGAGCAAGGCACACCTGTAACAATAATTCAAGCCTAGAAATATTTGCCTGTTCAAACTAGAAGTAAGTCTCAATTTTTAAAAAAGACTAAAAATGACTGGGAACGTGGGAAGAAGGCAAGGAGAGGTGCTATAATGCAGCAGTACAGGACAGACTGTGGAATCAGATCCGTAACATATTGAAAAGCCTCTACCACCACCCAGAAAAGGAGACTAGGTTTTCCCTCTATGAAACAGGAGTCATATAATGGAATCAAGTAATCTAAAAGCTAGAAGTAACTCAAGGGTTCACTCAACCTTTTCATTTTAAAGATTTTAAAGATGGGGAAACCAAGATCTAGAAAGTTGAAGAGACTTCTCAAGATCACAAAGTTAGGCAGTGGTAGAGCTAGAATTGAAACTCAGGGCTCTTGACAACCAGTCCAGTGTTCATTCTTCTAATGAGCACTTCTATGACTGGGAAGGGAACGTGTTGATTTTGGCCAAAGGGTCTCAAATACCATCTGTTCCTTGTCATTATCATCCTTGGATATAGTTCATAATAGTTTTCACAGGATTTTCACACATTCAATCTCATTTTAGCCTACAAGTAGGCACTGCAGGTATTATCTTGGAGAGTTTAAATGACTTGTCTAAAGTAACACAGCCAGTACAACTACAGTAGAAGCAAGTAACACTGATAGCATTAGAATTCAGGCCTCTGAATTCCAGTTCAGAGGTGTCAAAGTAATCACTATACCTGCCTTGGTACTACTTTGATCATACAAGGCAAAATCGAAATCTTTTAAAAAGAAAAAATAAATAGATTAATTAAAACAGTTACCAAATTGAATATTGTATGCTTTTACTCAAACTTTGGTTAATGTCAGAGTGCAGTTCAACAAATTCAAGTTACTTTCATGCTAGAAGGGTAATAATGTATTTTTAAATCATATAAAATAAATTTTTTCTAAGGAAATTCAATTTACTCACAATTTTATAGGAATGCACATATTGAACAAAGAGGACTAAGCAACTAATTTTACCTACCCACTGCTTCAATATACTTGTCTGTCCAAAACTAAATGTGGTGATTATTAGACGATGTTGAGATGTGAAAAAAAGTTTTGTTTATTAAATTTACCAATGAACAATATGTTCACTTTCAGGAAAACTGCATTTAAACCATGAATTCTGCCATCTCTACTTTCGTTTTCCTGAGGAAATAACATTTCAGAAAAACCAACTGCATATATTGGTTTCTATCTGTAAGTATACATACCTCGTATTTTTGAAGTCAGTGAAATTATTCCTTTCAAGAATGGTTTTTCCAACAGTTACCATGTTCTCAACTACAAAACAGTAAAGAAACTACATTACACTATAGGAGACATTAAGTTCACTACCTAGTTATTAACCCGAACTTTTAGGGTCCTAGTAAAAAGTCGTATCAAATGGATACACATTTAAAGACTCATCCAGTAGCTCTAAGTTACGAAGAAATTTGCTTATCAACAACTGAAATGAAGGTTCAACCCATCACAAACTGTCACACATAAGCTGACTTTGAACAGCTGTTGAGGGATATTATCAAGTGACTGTTCAGGACATCTGATCCTACTGAGGTCTAATTCTAATCATAAGGAAACCAAGTAATTAAACAAAAACTGTTTGAGTTAAGAGAACAAGAAAACTTTGAATTTGTCTTTGAACTCAAATTAGGAATATGACATCCCTTTATGTTGGCCCAGCCATGACTAGCTAAATGTTTGTTTTGGCTTCCAAACTCTTATTTGCCTTAGCATCTTTATTGTCTCAATGTTTCATGGTCTTCAGGTGGGAATATGCTTCCCCATTAAAAAAATTTTGGTAACTCAGGATCTTCAAAGCACAGTGCCAAACTTTAGATCTCTTTTGTTTCTGAATGGTGTAATCAAGCATTTGAAAAGAGAAGAAGTGAGAGAATCTGCAGAGGGCAGTTGTTATAATGAGGCTTATAAAATCATTGCTAACAGTTTACCTCTCTAAGTCAGGCTTGAGTGGGAAGGCTTCCATGACAAGGCCAGTACCACAAGGTCAAAAAAAAAGCTCATGTTACTTCGAGCCAGACTGTATCTTGTTTTCTTTTAAAAATACTCCCAAGGTCTTCCCTGGTGGTGCAGTGGTTGAGAGTCCGCCTGCCGATGCAGGGAACACGGGTTCGTGCCCCGGTCTGGGAAGATCCCACATGCCGCGGAGCGGCTGGGCCCGTGAGCCATGGCCACTGAGCCTGCGCGTCCGGAGCCTGTGCTCCGCAACGGGAGAAGCCACAACAGTGAGAAGCCCGCATACCGCAAAAAAAAAAAAAAAAAAAGACACCAGAAGTATTTCCAGACATAAAAAGGAACATTTTACAATGATAAAAATGGATCATTGAGAAGACATGACAATCATAATTACATATTCACTCAAAATCAGATCCAAAATACATGAAGCAAAACGTATTGTCTCTTTCCTATTTCATTGATATCTACTCTACTATTTCCTTCTTTATACTTTATTTTGATCTGATTTGCTTGCCTCTTTCTAGCATCCTAAACTGGAAACTTAGGTCATTGGTTTTGTACCTCCTTTTCTAATATAAGCACTTAAAGCTATAAATTTCCCTCTAGGCACTTCTTCAGCTACATTCTACAAATTTTGTTATGTTGTATTTTTATTACCAATCAGTTCAAAATATTGTCTTTTTTACCTATTTATTTAGAAGTTACTTAAAAGTGTTTTAACTTAAAAATATTTAGTGCTATTCTAGATTTTATTATTTATTTTAATTCCATTGTCATCAGACAATGTATTTTATAAGATTTTGATCATCTGAAATGTATTGAGACTTATTTTATTGTCCAGAATATGGACTATCTTGGTGAACATGTGCTCATAACAAAATGTATATTCTATAGTTAGGTGAAGTTCTATTAATGTCAATTATAGTCACAGTGCTTGATAGTATTATTAAGCTCTTCCATATGCTTATTATTTTTCCAACTTTATAGACTGTATAAAAATATTAATTTCAAGGACTTTTAAAGTTTTATTATGGAAATATTCAAATATACACAAAATCAGTAAAAACAGTACATATAATGAAATCCCAAACACCCACCATGCTGCTTCAAAATTAGTAACATTTGATTTGCAACTGTTATAAAAACTTTTAACACGAAAAGAAATACTAGAAAAAGAAAAGCAAGCATAAACACATTTCTCCCTCCTTAAGAAAAACAGTATAAAAGGAAATACTTAAGGCTGGTGGCTGTTGCCTAGTACTAAATACTGCACGTATATTGGCCTCTGTCTGTTGGAAGGAGCATGAAACATACTGATAGAACTGAGGATGACTAAGGAATTTCACAATATCTCGAAAAAACAGTTTAAAAACTGGTAATTCAGTAGTCTAAACACTAATAAACCACATATCGAGGTTTTCATCAAAGAGATTTCTTAGTCACCTTCAAAAATCTGGCCCAACTTATCTATCTTGCCAGCTACCTTAAAGTATTGACCAAACATCCCAGATCCTGATGACAATGGCTACTGAAGCAGGTTTGAAGTAAACTTAGCAATGTCTTAGTAAACCGTAGCTGACAAGTCACAGAAATCATGTATAGGAAAATACAGGATAATCCTGTAAGAGACAAGAATTCAGAATCTCTTTTTCAGAGGCTAAAAGTTCATCACTAAAATCTCATAATTAAACTTTGGTCCTACTTCATCTATACAGGAAATTACAAGGCAGGAAACTACAAGGCGGGTACAATACGGTCTCACTCTCAGGTAATATGTACTCATATGCCATACTATAACTTATTTGTTTATAACTTTTTTAAAATTCATTTTTATTGGAGTATAGTTGCTTTACAATGTTATGTTAGTTTCTGCTGTACAGCAAAGTGAATCAGCTATATGTATACATATATTCCCTCTTTTTTGGATTTCCTTCCCATTTCGGTTACCACAGAGCACTGAGTAGAGTTCCCTGTGATATACAGCAGGTTCTCATTAGTTATCAATTTTATACATAGTAGTGTATATATGTCAATCCTAATCTCCCAACTCATTCCACCTCCCCATTGCCCCCTTGGTATCCATACGTTTGTTCTCTATGTGTGCATCTCTATTTTTGTTTTGCAAATAAGTTCATCTGTATCATTTTTCTAGATTCCACATATAAGTGATATTATACGCTATTTGTTTTTCTCTTTCTGACTTACTTCACTCTGTATGACAGTCTCTAGGTCCATCCAAGTCTCTGCAAATGGCACAATTCTGTTCCTTTTTATGGCTGAGTAATAGTCCATTGTAAATATGTACCACATCTTCTTTATCCATTCTATTTGTTTATAAGTCTTCATATTATCTTTCACTTTCAGAATCAAGAAAGCCATCATTTAAAAAGCATAAAGAGGCATTATCTTTTAGAGATTTAAAAAATTAAATAACATGGCGTCTGAGATTTGCTTAAAATCCACTGTGGGAGAAGGTTAATATATGTAAAGAAATTGGCCATGAGTTAATAAATGTTGAAGTTGGGTGATAAATACATGGAGATTATACTATTTTCTTTATTTTTGTACATATTTGAAATTTTTCATAATGCAAGTTTCAAAAAGCCATAATGCTCCTTTATCACAATACCTGGCTAAACTGTTTCTTTTCAATTGTCACTGCCCTCACTGATGCCAGTTCACGATGATATAACCATGAAGAATACTGCCATCAACTTACCCAGTTCTATCTGATCTTTCTTTAGATATCTGCAGTTTCCAATATGCATCTTTGGCACCACAAGATAATGATGAGGTGCTGCTGGCTTGATATCTTTGAAGCAAACTAGGTCTTCATTCTAAAGGAAAATATCATTTGTTAGTGAATTTTTAAAAAGAATTTCCTAATGCTGTTCTGGCATGTCTTAAACATCATACATAAATCTCAGTCTGATAGGGAAATGGTGCTTATGTTACAACTAATCTCCATTGGGCAGTTTTGTGATTATGCATTATGTCCATAAAGACAAGCTTTAGCTTCCTTCATGAGATGCTCATTTATTCCAGAGAAGAAAAAGACTTATATAAAATCAATTTCCGGAAAACAATTATGAATGAAGTTCATTAAAACTTCATTACCATAATCCCAGAGTTTTTTTAAATTTCATTATATATTTCTCCATCTCTACCCTAAGGTTTTTCTACTCCTAATATGTACTTTTAAAGGTTCTACCACAGAATCATAGCAAGATTGATAAATTCTTTTTTACATTTACTTTTTTTCCAAAGTGCCATTTTCTTCATTTATAACATCATCTAGCATCTATATATCCAGGGGTTACATTTTTAAACATTTTTACAATAATTATAAATACTTTTTCTTTATGTTTACTTGCCACTTTATAGCATTAAAAAGACTCTGAAATGCTGAAACAAACTCTAGTATACTGTACTAAGTTATGTGTCCAGTCCATTACATGTATGGTATCAGTTTTCTGGTTTCTATACTCCACACATTAATGTAAGGAAAAAAGAAAAGGAAACAAAAGAGGGAGTCTTTCAACCTATTAACGTTTGAGTTTCAAGTTTTTTCAAAAGAAAAATCTATATTCCCTAAATAACCTTATTCAATATCTTATATTAAAAAATTAGTCAAAATTAAATAAAATCAGTATCAATAAGCATAGTTTCCCAGAATGCACTGTTGCTCATTAGTTCTCCATTCCAAGAACTAAAATTCAGTTGGAACAAGGGCCTCATATCCATGCCAATAATCTTGATTTCAGTGAGAATAACGATGAAAGGCAATTGTACATACTGTAACACGAACTTCCTTATCAGTATCCATACTGCTCATCTAAGCTTCAGGTGACTGACAAATTGACCTGCAGTGAGGCCACAATTCAGTGAATGGGACTTTTTGTCTCCTTTAGCCCCCAGCAGAGTCATGACTGAAATGGAGGGCAGCAAAAATACAGTATTATGTGTCCCTCTCCTATCTCAAGGCTTCTATAAAATGTCCACAATATCACTCTATTAAAATATTGCTTAAATATTGATTTTGTTGCTGTCCTCATTTACATACTTTCAACCAAGAGCTGCCAAAGTGTGGAGGCACAGCCACACAAAAATCTCGATTATTTTTCCAGATATTGAGTGTAACCTGCCTATAAGATGAGACTAGAGAGGGGGAGAAATTGTAACTTTTAAGACCTTGAAGTAAACAGTGATCAACTGAATGTAGCATGAGCTATGAGGAAAGTACACAAACAAGAAATGAATTGAGGTGCCTGCCTACAGAAACGGATTTATGCTGTGTTTAAAGAATATGAGAATCCTATTGCCCCCAAACTTTGAGGAAAAATCTATAGCAGCTGTTGCTTTGCGTTAATGTATCAGGAAAATGAAAGGAAAAGAATCTGTTACTCTCTTCGGCTGATGCAAGACAAAGGTTTGAGGATAAGATAGAAAATTTAGTAGAAACAGAAAATCATGAGAGGTGACTAGGGATAATGTATGCAGCATACTCCCCCCAGCGCCAAGAGGAAATCTTCTGATATACTGGGGAAAGTGATGGGTTTCCTGCAATTCAGGGACAGAGACTCAGACCAGGTGGGGTGTGTGTGTGTGTGTGTAAATTTATGTAAATATGTATACATGTGTATATATATGTATATGTGTGTTATATATACACACACACGTGTGTGTATAGTCCCAGAAGGTTGGTTGACTTGGGGAGCCCCAAAAGCTAACCCTAACCCTAAAATAACAAGCATGACAATTATTTCCATTTTTATTATGGTTTTCCCGTCTAGTAGTAACTTTAAATATACATATCCATGGAATGTTTTAGAAAGGGATAAGATCAAAAGGGATAAGACAGCAATGTTTTTGAATGTTTAAAGTTTTCCATTATTTACTTAATGCTTCCAGCTGAGAAACAACTAGTATCGGGGGTCAAATCTAGTACAACAAAATTGTACTTCCCAGACTGATTCATAACACAACAATTTTATATGCCTTTATTTCCCCCTCAATTATGGCATTAACTTTTAAAAATCCAGAGGTAATTCTTTCTGGTACAGAATACATCCCGATTAGAATTATTTTGAGATAATACAGCTGAATTCTACCTCAAAGCAGGAGTAACACTTCTTTAGATTCATGGAACTACAAAATGCTACTCTAAAGGATAACAGGAGAAAAATATTAAAGAAGCTCTTAAAAATCTGCTGTCATACATGACTCAGCCATAAGAATGAACCAAATGCCCAGTTCTGTCTTCATCTCCCAAAACCCTATTTTGAAAGGTTCTGTTTACTAAACGTCATGTGTGAATATTTTATTTTCCCAATTCTCGTTAATTAAAGAAACCTACCAATTGACATAACTGTCATCATCACCAGCAGATAAAATTCCTGTCAAAAGCAAAGCGATGACGTTTTATTTAGCCTATGCAATCAATGATTGAATTAGATTTCCATTAAGCTTTCTAAAATACTGAAACTGGCTCTCTGATGTCTCTCATTGCTACTACTGATCTAGCCAGTATTTAGACTCTTCATTTAAAAGAAAGACTGGGGCTTCCCTGGTGGTGCAGTGGTTGAGAATCTGCCTGCTAATGCAGGGGACACGGGTTCGAGCCCTGGTCTGGGAGGATCCCACGTGCCACAGAGCAACTAGGCCCATGAGCCACAACTACTGAGCCTGCGCATCTGGAGCCTGTGCTCCGCAACAAGAGAGGCCACGATAGTGAGAGGCCCGCGCACCGCAATGAAGAGTGGCCCCCGCTTGCCACAACTAGAGAAACCCCTCGCACAGCAACGAAGACCCAACACAGCAAAAATAAATTAATTAATTAATAAACTCCTACCCCCAACATCTTCTTAAAAAAAAAAAAAAAAAGCCACTACAAACCCGTACAGGAAAGCTATCCAAAGATCACTCATTTAAAAAAATAAATAAAAGAAAGACTGTCCTCCCATTCCACAGACAAAGAGGCAAAAAATATGAAATAATATTTGTACAAGGCTATTCTTTGCAGCATGATTTATGATAGCAAAAGACTGAAAATAACCCAACTGTCCATAAAATTCAACTAAGACTGGCTGAATAAATTACAGCAAATCCATACAGTGGAGTATTGTGTAGTTATAAAAAGGAATGAGGAAGATCTTTATACACTTATGAAATCATTTCTGGAATAAATTCCTAAGGTAAAAAAGAAAAAGCATGGAACAAGGTTAAGCTATCTTTTGTGTAAGAAGGCAGAGTATAAATATAAACACACGCATACATATCTACTCACAAAGGAAAGATAAACCAAAAATATTTTTTAAAGGTTTGTTACGGGGAAAGAGGAACAGGGTAGAGGTAACAAGAGAATGGATACTAGACTTCAAATGTACTTTGCTTTACAATTTTGATTTTAAAAGCATGTGAATATTTACCATACATTTTTGGACTCAAAAAAAAAAGTAGTCCTTAACAATGGAAAACAAACAGAAATGAGTGAACCTAACTATTTGTCATGTTGGTAGCATAATTACACAAAGAAAAGATAATTTCAAGTGACTTTAAAATACAGAATTTTGACTACCTATACCTAGTGATACCCACTAAAAGAGAATTTTTCATGTCAATTCAGATCATAGGCAAGCTTCTCAAGTGTAGGACATGCCATGTTCATCTTTGACCTCCAAGTGAGTAACACATATCAATAGTAAGCCTGTAAAATCTGTTCAGTAAATGACAGTTGCTTAAACAGAAAGATAAAACTACCGATACTCCCTTATCTACCCCTTAAAAAAATGGTGTGTCATTAGGGTTTTCATATACTTTTCCTCAGAAATGGATGACCTTCAGGCTTCCCTGGTGGCGCAGTGGTTAAGAATCCGCCTGCCAATGCAGGGGACACGGGTTCGAGCCCTGGCCCGGGAAGATCCCACATGCTGTGGAACAACTAAGCCCGTGTGCCCCAACTACTGAGCCTGCACTCTAGGGCCCGCAAGCCACAACTACTGAAGCCCGTGCGCCTAGTGCCCGTGCTCCACAACAAGAGAAGCCACGGCAATGAGAAGCCCGCGCACCACAACGAAGAGTAGCCCCTGCTTGCTGCAACTACAGAAAAGCCCACGCGCAGCAACAAAGACCCAACTCAGCCAAAAATAAATAAATAAATTTATTTTAAAAAAAGAAATGGATGACCTTCTTAAAGTTGGAATTATGGCCATTGTTTGATTATAACAGCGTTTCTTAAACTTTTCTCATTATCACCCTCCTAAGGAACATTTTTAGACTTTTTCCTAATTGCCCTCCCATGATATGTTAATATCACAAATATATTGTGTATCTCTCATGTCCTATATGGCATAGCTGTACTTTATATATAAAGAGTAAACCATATACTTTCCTCCTTCACCTCCTTCAGGGCTTCATTCAAATGCCACCTTCTTAGTGCAGCTTTTCCTGACTAAAAATTTAAAATTTGCATCCCTTTTCTCTTTTTTCATTCCCATCTAATGAACTATGTATCAATATTTTGAACTATGTAACAATATCCATTCTCTATATAATATTTTACTTATTATGTTGCTTACTATTTCCTGTGAGTAAGCTCCATGAGGACAGGGATTGTTGCACATTTTATTTACTGCTATATCCTAATGCCTCCAACAGTGCCTGACACACAGAAGGCACTCATTCAAATACTGAGTAATGGATGAGTGACTGAGTTTCCTCTTTCTCAACGACAAAGCTTTACCACCGTGGGCCATTTTAAACCTCTCTCCATTGGCACCTTCCCATCAGGATTTAAACGCACCAAAGTCTTCACTGTTTTAAAAAGCTTTCTCTTAACTCCATCTCCTCCTGTAGTTACCTTACCTTTTCCCTTCTCCCCAAGACTGCCAAACTTCCTTCAAAAGTCGTCTGTATTTGCTGTCTTCAATTTTTTATCCTTCAGGTTCTTACCAACTACAGTCTGCCTTCTGCCTCACCACTGCACTGCAGTTGCTCTCCTCAAGGTCAATGACCATCACTCTGGGGACAAAACCAGCTCTGATCTAAGGTGCCCTCTCTGCAGGCATATTGGAGAGTCACCTAACCCAGATTCGAGGATTAGGGAAGGCTGATGTTGCTGCCAATTCCTATCTTCCTAACATACTCCCTTCTCTTAGCTTTCCTAGTTTTCCCTCTGTTTCTCTCTCCTCTTTTCAGGTCCTCTTCCTCTGCCTCTCTCGTAGGGGCCCCTTCACTTCTTACTCTACATATACTTCCTAGGTGATCTCATTAATTTCCCTCTTTCCAATTTCCATCTGTAAGCTGACAGTTTCTATAATCTGAGCTAGAGATGCACATCTCTGCAGTGTCAGACTCCTAAATATCCTTAAATTGACTGGCTTTTCTTCACTCCCACTACTACATCTTATTTCAGGCCATCATCAGGCTGGATTACTTCAACAGCCTCATAAGTGATCTCCATGCCTCCAGGCTGGTCCTCTCTAAATCATTCTCCACAATGGTGTCAGATAATCTTTCAAAGATCAAACCCTTTCATGTAACTTCTCAACCCCTTTCTTCCAACCCAGCATTAACAGTAGCATTAAACACTGTAGAGCTTCCCTTCACTCTTCAAATAAAGCCAAAACTCCTTAACATAAATTACAGTAGCCTTAATAACTTGGCCCCTTGTCTACCTCTCTAGCTTCATCTTTCACCACTCATCCCCTCAAACTCCATGCTCCAGTTAGACTGAATTTCTGTCCTCCTGTGGCAGAAACCAAACCTCTGAAGGTGCTCTTTACCAGGGGCATCTTCTCTCCTCCTCACCTGACCAATGCCTACTTACTTTTTCGCGTCTCACTTCCTCTGAAAAGCCTTCCCTATCCCTTCAAATCTGGGCCAGGTGCTCCTCCCACGAGCCCTGCAAAATACTGCAGGTGGTAAAACCATCTCGTCATCCAACAGGGCACTGTTGTCAGCTGCCTCTTCTGTCCCTTTAGATTATAAAATCCAGACAGGGACTGTCCTTTACCTTGCTCACCAATGAATCTCCAACAGTGCTTAGAAGGAAGTCAATTTACTTTCAACAAATGAATGAATGATTACTACAAAAACAAAAAACCACAAAGAAGCCCAGAATCTTTGGAGCTGATTCTTTCAAAAGATGTTTCTTGGGCTTCCCTGGTGGCGCAGGGGTTGGGGGTCTGCCTGCCGATGCAGGGGACACGGGCTTGTGCCCCGGTCCGGGAGGATCCCGCGTGCCGCGGAGCGGCTGGGCCCGTAGGCCATGGCCGCGGGGCCTGCGCATCCGGAGCCTGTGCTCCGAAACGGGAGAGGCCACAACAGTGAGAGGCCCGCGTACAGCAAAAAAAAAAAAAAAAAAGTATGTTTCTTTAAAGGCAAGTCGAGCTGGTGGAAGAAAGTGCCTACCAGATCATCTGTTTTAAAATATCTGGACAAAGTCTTAATGCTCTGAAAATGTCCACATATCCTAACTGATAACACTTCTAAGGAACTGGACCCTTTAGTGGAAATCAGAATCTATTAAGTAATAGTTTGACCTCGGACCCACTCCTGCCAGCCTATTTTCAGTCAATCTAACAAACAGGTTTCCACAATTACCATTATCTACTTTCTATTGGTTTCTCTTCAGTACCAGTATTAAGAGTGCGGAATGTAAAAGCAGTGTCTAGAAAGGCGGGGGGAGGGGCGTCCCTTTAATAAAATCAGAGGCCATACATGCTATTGTCCACAAAGTACCTCGGCAGCTGCAGAGAGACTTTACCACTACATTTTCTCCCCTTGTAATAGCAAAGAGGTGGCTGGTGACACTCCCTGCGCCTAGAGAAGTAAGTCTGTTATTAACACTAGGACACCCAGCCTCCCCCAGCCCCATTTATCAGGACCCTCCCCACCCGATCCACATCGGCGAGGTCCCCTCGCGGAGCCCCGAGGAGCGATCGGGTCCCCGGTCGCGCGTCACCGCCAACCTCACAGTACAGGAGTTCAGTGCTGGGATCCTGCTGCGCCGCGATCCGGCAGAACACGCACTTGCTACTGTAGTTCTCGAGCTCCGGCGACTCTGCGGCGACGGCGGTGGTCTCCGAAGGGGATCCCAGAGGTTCTGCAGCCGCCGCTGCCTCAGAGTCGGCACATGACTTCTTGAAATCACATTCCTGCTCCTCCGCCATCGCCTCCGCTCCCGCACCGCCGAGAGCCTCAGGATTCTCAACAGGGCCTACGCAGAGTTAGCCTCCCGCACCTCCTAGATTGTACCTCGAGGCGTCGCCCCTCGCCTGGCGCTGGGGCGGACAGGGAGTTGGGCACGCTCGCTGATCCCGGGCCACGCCAGACCCAAGGCGACTGACTAGCTGCGGAGCCTCAAAGCCAGAGGCTCGCTTGCACGCCGGCTGCCACTAGGGGACGTGCGAGGACGCTACACGGAAGAGCGGTCGGCCGCGGCAGTTGCCCCTCCCTCTGCGTCTCGTTGGTAACTACGCAGGACTTCCGCCAAAACGCAGGCTCGCGCCCCACGTCGCGGTGACGTCACGGGAGCGCCGTGTCCTCGGGGCGGAATGGAACCTGTTGAGTGTACTGAATGTCGTTTCCCTGAATCCTGTAATGTAAGGTGCCCCAAGAGTGTATGACGATGTCTTAAAAAAAAGTTTTTAAATTTTAATATTTTAAGCTTACGAATTCGTAGGTTTTAAGAGAATGAACAAAATTTCTAGAACTTTGTTTTCCACAAGATCATAGTTGATCCTTTGTGTACGCATTTTCAGCCATGATAATTTTAGGTGCTAAGCTCAAAATGTGGAACTGAATTTCCCATCTGTCTTTAATTGTTGTTGTTGTTAACAGCACCAGCTAGATCAAAACAGCGCGCTTTATCTCATTCTTCATACACAGGTAATGCGGAATCCTGTAGTTTATAGTCTGAAATATTCCGGACCTTTACTGCCAGTGGCTCATTATGCCTCACCTGGATCACTGCGATATCCTTCTAACTAGTTTTCCTCCTTGAGTTTTCTGCCACTCAGGTAAAAACCGTGTGTTACCAACTCAGGTGCTTGGACTCTTAGGAGTCTCAGACTAAACTTTTAAAAGGCCTCTCAGGGCCAAGAAAGCCATGCCAAGGGATTATCACAGATTTTGCCTAACAGATTTGGATGAATTCCTCCCTTTTTGAGGTTCCCCCCAAAATACCTTGAAACTCTTGCATTTGTTTGGAGGTGGCCTTCCTTATTTATTGGATAAAGTTTCTGGGAACCTCTGAGTTTCCAGTTACTGGAGGGTTCAGGTAGAAAATATAAATGTTTCAATTCTACTTAGGGGTGTAATTTACCAAACTGCTATAAATCATAATTAGCTTGAGGGGAAGGGTTTCCTTGTATCTGGAGAACACAGAATAAAAGCCAGTAATATCTCAGGTGAGACCGAAAAATTATAACCATATCCATCAGTTTACTCAATCTCATGTAATTAATAGTTTTATAGAGCCATCTGGTTTACCCAGTTCAGCGGTATGATTTGAAAGTTATCAGAAACTTGTACTTGTCAAAAAGCCCATTCTATGAATCTTCCTGAAATGAAGCATTTTTGTTTTTTTAAACTTATTTTATTGAAGTAGAGTTGATTTACAATGTTGTGTTAATTTCTGCACAGCACAGTGATGCAGTTATGCATGTATGTACATTCTTTTTCATATTCTTTTCCATTATAGTTTGTCACAGGAAATTGAATATAGTTTCCTGTGCTATACAGTAGGACCTTGTTTATCCATTCTCTTTATAATAGTTTGCATCTGCTAATCCAGAACTCCCAATCCACCCCTCCCCCACTTGGCAACCGCAAGTCTGTTCTCTATGTCTGTAAGTCTGTTCCTGTTTTGTAGATAAGTTCTTTGTGTCAGATTTTAGATTCCACATATAACTGATATCATATAGTATTTGTCTTTCTGAATTACTTAGTATGATCATCTCTAGTTGCATCCATGTTGCTGCAAATGTCATTATTTCATTCTTTTTTATGGCTGAGTAGTATTCTATTGTATATATGTACCATATCTTCTTTATTCATTCATCTGTCAATGAACATTTAGGTTGTTTCCGTGTCTTGGCTGTTGTGAATAGTGCTGCTATGGACATAGGGGGAGGCGCACCTGTCCTGACGATGTCCCTGGTGATACCTGCGATTGCTTTGCTCACTTACCTGTTACTTTTAAAAACTTGCTTCCCATTCCCAAACCTTGGACTTGATATAGTTCCCTACCATGGAAGTGGGAGGAGCAAAACAAAGTATTTAAAATTGTCTGGAGTATATGTCCTGGTGTGGGAACAGGCAAAAATACAGGCACTGTGTGTGCACAGACAGAGCTGCTACCAGGTGGGGTTCTGGATAGCTCCCCTGAGGAATAGCAATTTGCGTTGTGTGACAATAAACTAATTTTAAATTTTATTTGTGAAATGGAGTGCTCTTTTCTAATTTCAAAAGGGCACCATATGGGCCAGTAGCAACCCTGCTTCAGAGCAGGCTCTGGAGTTAGACAGCTGTACAACTTACCATCTGTGAAGACATGGGCTGAGTTTTTTATCTTTCCCTGAGATAGATAGATAGATAGATAGATAGATAGATATATCTGAAACACTCTGCTGCACACTTGAAACCAACACCTTGTAAATTAACTACACTTCAATAAAAATAACCAATATTGAAAATAATATACAATATGAATGTAAGTCACATTACTGTTATCAGTAGCAAACATTTATTAAGAGCCAACTCTGAACATCATACCATACTAAAACAAGCCTTTATTTGTCTGTGCTTTCCGCATCACTTACTGATCCATTTCTCTGCTCTCCTTTGCAACCAAACTCCCCCCCAAAAGTTGACTATACTCTTCCGAATCCCTCTCCCCCTCTCCTCTCACACTGTCTCCCATCAAGCTTTCACTGCCATCATCCCGTCCAAACTATGCTGTCAAGTTGACCAATGACCCCCATGTCACCAAATCTAATTGTCTCTTCTCAGTGCTCATCTTTTCAGCAAAAGTTGATTATTATCTTCCTCTTGATAAAACATTTTTTTCCTCTTGTTTTCCAGCACACCACACTTTCAGATTTCCTCCTACTTGATTGGTTGTTCCTTCTCCAGTCTCCTTGGCTGCTTCCACTTCTTCCAAACCTCTCTCGTCACTAATGGGCTTTGGTCCTAGGTTTTTCTGTCCCTCCTTCTCTCTCTCCCTCCCACTCACACATAAAAAGCTGTACATATTTAACATATACAATTTGATACTACTCTTCTCTTTAGCTATACTCACTCCTTTGGTGATCTCATGCAGCCCAATATCATCCCATTAGTCAGTGACAGAGCAGAGACCCCAACCCAAGCAGTCTAATGGGAACCTGTGCTCTTAAATCATGGTACTTTGACGTGTACATGTGTTCAGATACGTCTAGTATGAGTCATGTTTATTAAATATACATATGTGAAAAAAAAGAAAAATATATATACATATGAATTTGTAAGAAAGACACCTGAAAGAATACATACCAAATATATTTGCATTGTGATCTCTGGATGGGTAAATTATGTCTTGATGTTTTTCCTTTTTTTGGTTTTTCTGTATATTTTACGTCTTCAACAATGAAAATATAGTACTTTTGTCATAAGGAAAACATTTTAACAGATTTTTAAAATTCAGAATTCCAAATAAACTTCATTTCCTTTAATCATTCTCTGTTTCATAAATAATCTCATTCCATAAATTTTTGAGTTGTTCAACCCTGATGTCAAGAGCCATGAAGCATTTTTAGGCAGATTTCTTGGTGTTTTGGGGAGAGACAGACAGTGGAGCTACTACAACCATATGTCTGATACAGTGCAGTATTTAGTCCATTTTGCAGTGAGGATAGGAAAGTGTGTTGGTGAGTTTGTCTTAATCTCATAAAGTATTATCTTGTCAGTAACACCCCTTTTCCACATCCTAAATAGAAATTTCCTGAACACAAATACAAAAACCTTCTCTGGCTTATATTTAGTAAATAGGAGTAACTTTTTGCTGTTTCACTAGTGTCTCAAGAATTTTAGATTTTTCTGAAGGTGAAAAAAAAGCGTGGACACACTTCCCTCTCCTTAAGAAAAACAGTATAAAAGGAAATACTTAAGGCTAGAGTGGCTGTTGCTTGGTACTAAGTACTGCATAATTTTGGCCTCCGTCTGTTGGAGTGAGTGAAATGTCTAACAGGCAAAAGAAGGGGAGGAAGGAGTGCTTGTGTGTGGGAAAGGAGGAAAATTTCCAGTTTCCGATTATTAAACTGCCTTATTTAGAGCTCTCTTGGAAGAAATACTGGGAAGTGGCCCAGAGTCCCGACTTGTGACTGTTTGAGCTTTGCTGAAGTACTTTAAGGGAAGTCCTGATGTGTTGTTCTGAAGTGGAAACTGTGTAAATTATTTGTAATGGAGAGAATGATAAAAGAAAAAAAAATCCCGCCTCCTTATAGCAACTTTCCCATTCCTGCTGTTTCCCTGGTAAGTTATTTTGTTTACTTACCTACAGAGTATAATGCAGACACTTCTGCTTTTTTTCATAATACTTTCCTGAAAGCCATGTCTTCAAAACATTGAAAGTAATTTCTACTTTTATCAGAAATAAGATTACACTTAGACTTTGCATTTCTGATAAAGAATTTAGCATAAACAAAGTTTGATGTGACTAACACCTTACCTTTGTCTGGCATTTTGCAATTTTCTAAGGCACTTTCATATATGTAAGTTAATTTGATTCTCATAACAAATCAGAGAAGTAGATTTTATTACCCCTATTGTAGAAATGGAGAAAATGAGACATAGGAAGATGAATCCGCCTACTCACAATCATTTAGTTGGTGGATGATAGAGGCATCCAGACCTTTAGTAGAACCAGACCAGAGGCACTTCTTTTCTCCCTCAAATCAATAGAAAACAGCTACCATGTAAATCAGCCCACCTCCATCATCTTGAAGTTAATGTAAATTTTCTTGTCAAATTCACACCTGTATTTTTTCATAATCTCAAGGCCAATAAATCTCATCTTCACCATTCATTCTTTTTCTTGTTAAAAAATTTTTTTTAGTTTTCTTAACTGATAACCCAAAGCGTCTTATGCTTCTTTTTCCCCTAACGTTTTTCCGTCTCTGACCTCTGAATCTCTTTCCACTTTAAAAGCCACAGTTTATTTGTGAGCACCCTAATCTGTATCCTCAGCTTCCTCACTGAACCATACCTTCACCTTCTTGCCTTAACTGAAACCTGGCATTCCCCCAAGGATATCACTTCCCTTGAGCATCGACAAACAAAAACTGCTTTTTCTCCCCACCTTCCAACATGCTGAGAGAGATTTGGAAGCAGTGTTGGCGTTCTCTAGCTTCTAACTGCCAGTCCAGGTGATCCCATTCCCACCTGTATGTAACTCCCCACCCTCTGCGCCCTTTCGAGTATCATGCTATAGCATGAAG